TGGTCTCTTGAGGAAGGGACAGGGCCCGGCTGCACAGTTGAGGGCCCAGTTCCCAGATGACTGGAATGGTGGCTCTCATCTCATTATTTTGGGAGCTGGGAAATTACTATTCATGACAGTAAACTTAAAAATGAAATAATAAGTCTGTCCTTTTAAGAAGCAAATTACGATGTCAGAATATTCATGAGCTGTGACTTCATGGGAAATGGCAGCCGCCGGGAGATTATCATTTGGTTAAGTCAGCAGCGGCAGAATTTAGGGAAATGTGCCTGTCAGTCTGAGGAGATGGTGATTAATACTTCCTGTTTGCGGCCCCTTAACGGGTGCATTTTAATGTAATAATTAATTAACCTTGGGGATCAGTCACATTTCACAGCTCCTGCTGCTGTGGCTCCGGGCCGGTGGAGGCAGCCTCTTTCTGCCAGATTCCTGTCCACCCTGGGCACTGGATCCTTCAAACTGACCTCCTGAGGGGCTGAGAGGTCACGACTGAGCCCTAATCTCAGGGAGAGAGTGTGTACATGATGGGGTGGCATAGGCAGGACAGGGGACAGGAACCCAATCCTGTGCTAGTAAATGTCTGTGGCCTTTCCCTTAGTGCTGCACGTTGAGGGTCCCTGAACTCATGTCCACTTGGAACCCTAGGATGTGGCTTTTCAGGAGAGGGTTTCTGTAGGTTTAGGATCTCAGATGACCTTGCTCTGGAGCACTAAACCCCACAATGAGTGTTCTTACAAAGAAGGGAGTGGAGAGTCAGAGGGAAGAAGCCAGTGATTTGAGCCAAAGTTTAGGATGCCCAGGACTGAGGGAAGACACAGGAAGATGGGAGAGGCCTGGGATGGCCAATCTTACTGGGAACTTGGTGTTGACGACTGACCTCCAGCATAGGCGAGAAGGCATTTCTGGTGTTTGGAGTCACAGACTCCCTCATGAAGCTGCAGCTACCCCAGGACACTCTATCAGCTCTCTGCCAGGGTGGCCAGCATTGAGGCCAGCTCAGGGAGGCCCTCGGGTAAAGAATAGGAACTCTTTAGGAACTGGATCGGAAGACCTGGTGCTGGCTTTTGCAGTGAGCAGTACAAGTGACCAAACGCCAGTTTTCTCCTCTCTAGGTCTAAGAGTCTTCCGTTGTAGAGGGTTGACCAGAGATACACCTCTCAAACTGGATCCCCTCCCGTGTACTCTTAGGGAGCATGGAATCCGAAAAGCCTGCCCTTCTATTTCCTTCACTTGCTGCCTGGAAAACACAGTCACCCTTCCTAGCTATTCCCAGCACCTTCCTCTGGCAGTGCACACCTCAGTACTCTGTATGTGGCACTGTCCAAGACAGCTCGAATTCTGGGTTCTGCAGAGCATCAGTAGATTAAAAGTGGCCATGCCAAGCTTTGGGGTCCCAGGTAACACACACACCTGCTCATGCATACATGTGCACCACATACATGTGATGACGGTCATGCCTACAGACACACACACGCACACTCCCATATAAACTCATACACGTATGTGCACAAACAGATCCACATGTATACACTCATATACATGCTCACACATATGCTCACTCAGGCTACATACCCAGCCAACTCACAAATACCTGCTTTGAGCTGGACAGCAGCTTACTTGCGCTGTCTAGTGGCTTTTCCCGGGTACTGCAGTATCAAATTTGCACCCTGGGGCCTCTGTCCTGTTCAGGGCCGGTGGCAGCATCTGGGTCAGACTCGATGCCTTTTTCCAGGGAGGCCCTTTCCAGCTTGTCCAGCATAGTTAACGCCAACATAATATGTACAATGACACCACACAGGGCTCAGTGGCTTGGGGCAGGGGATAGGGAGGACATGGGAAGGAGGGCCATTTTCCTGGCAGCCACCATTGAGGGATGCCAACCTCCTCCAGTGAACTCCTGGTGCTGGGGCAAAAACCTGGTCTCCACCCAGGGTTAGCGCTTTCTGAATCACAACCCTCTCTGGCTCAGCTGGGCCCTTGGGCCTGCCACACTCAGAACACTTGAGGTGGGAACTGGCAGGCTCTGAGAGCACCCATTTGGCTTGTTCTCTCCTTGAAGACCATATGGGTAGGAGGAGGTTCCTAAAGGTGTAAGTCGTGCTACGTGGTACAGGTTACTCAGATCCTCCTCATCCGGTTTTATGGGCTAGGGTCTGGGCTAGGGGTCCTGTGTGAAGGTAGGAGTGGGTTCATCTAGTAGACTGTGTATATAGCCCTGTATAGTGTGACTTTGGGACCTTATCCTGGTCCCCTTGGCTAACAGAGGTTCTGAGAGAGCCCAGGAACCCCTCTCCGAAGTGGTTAAAGCTGATTTCAATTGCTGTAATCAAGAGACTTCAGAGCTTTACTTAGCCCACCTTAGGAAACCTTGATCTACCAGTCAGGGAGCTCCCCTGCCTTCCCATGTCACACCCCTGGCATAAATAGCAAGTACTCAATAAACACTTCTTTCTTTGGGTTGGCAGGGAGCTAGCATCATGTTTTCTGAAGCAGAGACTGAGATCAGGGAGAATCTGAGTCTCCATGCAAGTCCCATGCGTGAGCCAGGCAAGTGAGTGTTAGGATTTAGGTATTATGCTGGCCTGCACAGTCATATGGCAGAATGTGCCCAGGCAGTACTCTGGCCAGCCCAGTCCTGGTCTATTCAGGGGTCCCTTGAGGGACGAGCTCCGCCCACTCCCCCACTTTCTTCCTTTCTGCCATTCTCTCTCTTCCTCTCTCCCCTTCCCTCTCTGTCTCCTCCTTTCCTCTCTCCCCCACCCTCCTCTCCTCTCAATAAACTGCACACCCAAACTCTGTCTGCATGGCACATTCTGTCACCCACTGTGGTTTAGACCCACCTGTCATGGGATGCCACAAAGGTCCCAACTTGTGCTGTATCATAACAGTAAGTAGGGGGAGAATCAAGTGAGTGTCCCTTGAATACTACATCAGCATCTGTATAGCTTGGCTTTAGAGAGGGCTGTGACCTTCAAGTTTCTGTAGCAAGGTCGACCTGGGAGGCTGGGCAGAGGGCTTTGAGTGGTGTCTCTGTGTTAACGTGGAAATCTGGGTCTGTTGGAGGAGCGGACTTGTCACCTGCTGGGGACGGACAACAAGCATACATTGCAGAGACCACTTTCCCCACAATTTCTCCTGTTTACCACCCCTCTCCTGGGGGTCCTGGAGAGCCAGATCTAGCACATGGAAGGGACTTGTTTCATGTCCCTCTACGCAATCCCTTCAGCTTCTTCAGTGGCAGGGTGCTCATACTGACTTTTGGCTCTGTGGAAATATGTTGCCAACACTCTTAGTCTACAAATGGGGAGTCTAGGCAGCCATGACAGGCTTCCAGGAGAAAAGTGTCCTAAGCTTGAAGAATGAGTTGAGTTGCCTAGGCTTTGGATAAAGAGCAAGGGTTTGATGGGGAGAAGACTGGGGGACTTGTAGATCAGCTGGAGGGGCCTCAAACCCACTGTTCACAACCTCCATTGCTTGGTTCTGGGACCATCCACCAAGACTCTGATCTGTGGCAGGAGCCTTCACCTGCAGGGCCTTGCGGACTGGAGACTCCAGGGTGGTGCAACACATTACATGCTGTACTTAACTAGAAATAGGTGCCGCGGACCCTTCTGGGCCTGTCTAAGGTCAGAAGAAGTGCTGCTCGTGACAGGATCTCGTGTACCCAAAGATAACTATGAACTTGACCTCCTGATCCTTCTATTCCTACTTTCATGCCACCATTCCTGGCTCAATGATCGTTGTTTATTGTTCGTTTGTTTTTTAATTTAAGAAGATGTATTTTTGTGAGTGTTTTGCTTGCATATATGTATAACATTGCAGACAAACCTTTGGACATCAGAAGAGGGCGTCCGATCTCCAGGGTGGTTGTGAGCTACAAGGTGGGTTCTGAGAAGTCAACCTGGAACCTCTGCAAGAGTAGCAAGTGATCTTAGCTTCTGAGCCGTCTCTCTGGCCTCTGTGTGTGTGTGTGTGTGTGTGTGTGTGTGTGTGTTTTATGCAGGTTTTTATGTTTTCCAGCGTGGCCCTGAACTCATTATGTAGTCAAGGATGACCTTTCTGATCCTTCTGGTTCTGCCTAAGTGCTAGGATTATAAACACGTGTCAGGTTTATGCAGTGCTGGGAATCAAACCCAGGGCTTTGTGCATGTCAGACAAGCACTTCACTATTTGTGACACATTCCTAGTAACCTGACCTGAAACGTCCTGGCCGAGACGTTTCATATTTTTTAATGCCAACTCTGAGATCGTGTGTGCTTGATTCTGTAGCCCTTTTCAACAGGTATCAAGGATGGTGGTGCTGACTGAAGGAACGAGGCGGAAGGATAACTGCTCCCCATAAGCACCTGACCCTTTTCACACAGTTTTGGTAAGGGAGCCGGGAGCCCGACTGGGAACTACACCTCCCGGCATGCCTCGGCGTACTACGTATTTCCTGTGTGGCGGCAGCGGAGGCGGCAGCAGCAGGGGGAGCGCCTACCAGAAAAACCACAACTCCCGGCATACTCACGGGCGCACATTACGTACTTCCGGCGCGGCTGCGGCAGCGCGCCCCTGGCGGCTACTGCGACGGCGGCAGCGGCAGCGAGGGGAC